GGGGGGGGATACCTACGCATATTATGAAGATATAACGGACAGAAACAGACAACCCAGAAGAGTTGGTGCAGACGTAAATATATGGTGGAGTAATAGACTGTTTCGTTCGCTGAACCCTGGACAGTCTGCAGGATCCCCTGGTACTTTGAGTAATAAGCTGCTTCAAGCTGCTTCAAACCCTGTTGCTAGTCGGCAAACACAACAAAGCATGCACAGATAAGGCAGCTTATAGCAAGACATCAACAAATAATTAGAATAACGATGGACACAATACGAAGAAGATGATATGAGTGTTACATGTCATGGTGTCATCACCTTCCTCCCCACATCCCTCGACGCAACACTTGCCGAGGAAACTCAATCCTTCTAACTCATACGCCACTCAGATTGAGGCTAATGTCTACTTGCTACACAGTTAAATACTACTCATATTCAGTCCCACAACCTCAAAAACACTCGACACGCAGTATGCCTCCGCTGGTACTGGAGCAACTGCCGCGTAGTCGACTGAACTCACCCGCTCAGCCACAGTTTCCCGGCATGTGTACAATGTCAGGTATATCACCGCTAGTACAGTGGCAGTCAGCGACAAATAAAATAATAATAAAGTAAAATAAATCACCAGCCTGGCCATTTCTAGTGCGCGTACCACGTCATTATGCAGGACAGATTCATATCCGTTGTTTCCCCCTCACACGTTCAAGTTGGCCCAGCTGGCAGATCTTGCCAGGAATAGCCGAACAAAACAGCCGACATTCAGTCCGGAATCGGGCCCGGGTACGGTATCCACCCGGGTGGTGCAGTGCTTGTCTCATCCTAGGTGGGGTTATTACCTTCCAGGAACCATTGTCCTGTTACTTCGGCTATTTTATCCCAAAAAAGCGACGGGTCCCTAGGTCCCTATTTTTCATCCATCGTAACCCGGCTGAGACCACTTTCCTGGGGTACTTCTGCTTTTGCAGTTCTTCACACAGGCTGAGGATATTGAGGCACGTCAGGCCCGGG